AAGAAAAGTGGGCTGAGGCTAGTGGAGAGGCCCACAGGCTGTGGTGTGAGCAGTGGAAGGTTTGTAAAGATGTGGTAGAATAAGTAGACTGTAACTGAGAAGTCTTACATCTCACTGATAGAGCTGACCACATGGCTATCACTGTCCCTCAACTGCAGCCAAACACATCTCGATGACAGACACACTGCTGTACTGTCTCACACACTGATGGATGCACACTATGGCACTGAATATACTGGACTAATCCACATAATCACATATAATGTACAGTATGAAACCCATGGCCCCAGGTTTGACTGGCTGACCAAACTAAACTAAAATGAGCACTCACGCTGGTACTCGTGTTGCAGGGAACCATGTTGTTTAACAATCAATATGAACAGCAACAGGTATTTTTTAAAATCAATTGCTTTTCACTATAATTTTTGTCCAATTAACACCCTGATACCCAAACATTTTCACTAAGATGAGGAAAAGCAGCACGCCTTCTCCTGTTAGAAGTCGGAGCCTGCAAATATTTGGTATTTTTAATTGAAAGATGACTTAAATGATGAATCAGCCATCAAACTAGTTGTCACGGTTTTTGTTACTTAACTGGTAAATTAATCAGCTAATCTTTTCTTCTTTCTAAAGGCACATAATAGAATTGAACTGATATGACAAATTATAAATTTAGGTTAAAAGACAACACCTAAATAATGCAGCTGCCACGCTACTCTTTAGTGGTTTTTTTAGATCATATATTTTAACGGCTACTCTCAATGGATAACATATTAAAAATGCTAAATTATTTTAACTGGTAATTTGATAGATGGTGATTGGTTGTCATGAATTATTTCAAAGCAGAGTTAAAGCAAAACAAGGAAAAAAGCTCACTCTGTTCAATGGAATCGGAGCCTGGCCTGTCTGCCCAGAGGGGCCGTGCACACTATACCATTTGCAGTTTCTGTGGAAACATTGCTGGGACTACCGTCAACACCACTGTCACACATTAGGTTCTCCTCTTCCATACAAGTCTCCTGCTGTTTGCCTGAGCAGACCGTATGGTACAAATGTAAGGCAGAGCTGAGAGGGAACCTGAACCAGCTGATCAATGTCTGAGAATGAGCAGGAGGCTCAGCTATCAGGGCAGGACGCCACCTTTACAGCAGCTGTCTGCCAATGCTACATTTCTCTCACTACTGAGACATAACTAACCCTATTATGATGCGACAATGTTATCGTCAAGGTTGGTTTAGGTTTAGACATAAAAAGATTGTGGTTTGGGGTAAAATAAGTACATTGTCAGGTAAGAGAACCTTCACTGTCATGGTTAAAATATTAAACTCATGGATAAGGCTATAATACAGTCATGGTTAAAAGAAGCAACACTGACTTACAGTTTGAAATGGGAAATGAACGGTAGTCTTAAAGTAAATTTTGTTGATCCATCCATCACCTCGACCTCCTCCTTTCCTAGATTGTGTTGCTCTATAACAAATTCACCTGACCTCCTCCTTTGCTCCATCCATAATTACTACAGCCACTCCAGGGCTCCAACTCAGAATAAATGATAACAGAAAATTACTATTCATCATGCATTACAGAGGCTGACATCTTTTAGCTGTTCAAAAACAGAATGAAAACAGCCTTAATACTTGAACATGGAGCTGTTGCAGAAACATAAAATCTCTAGATGGAAATTTGTTCATTCATTATATAAAAACTTTCCTGAGGCTTGACTCAGAAAGCCATAGTATTATCTATAAACCATTTCATCAGAATATTATTTTTGTTGACAGCATGATTCTATATTTATTTCCTGACAGTTATGGACCAAACACTGCCACAGGAAATTAGGCCTGCAAGGCTACAGTTAACTAAAGTAGTCTAATTCCAGGTGAGATGGGGAATAAAAAAAAACAGGAATCATTTAGAATGACTGTCTTTGCTTCTCTTAAAAAATGGTCTACAAATGACAGCATATTAGCACATTCAGGGAAGGAACACCACAGAAACACCACCCAGCAGAGGAGAAATGTTTCATGATTGTCCCCTAGCATCATTCTCAACTTCTAAACTCCCCAGATGCAAGTGCAGGCCTTTGACTAATGTGAAGTAGTACAAAAATGGTTCTAGTGGGGATTTTCTTTGCTAATTCCTTTGTTCCAGTGTGACCACACTGAGCTTGGTTCTTGTTTCAGTAGCCCCATTGTTCTAGCATTACTCAAATCTGTTAAATTGCATATTTGATGCAGTGGTGGAATTTAACTAAACACATGTACTCAAGTGCTGTACTCTACCATTTTGAGATTCTTGACTTGAGTATTTCCATTTTATGCTAATTAATTACATTTTGGGCACAAAATTGCACTTTTCACTTTGCTATATTTATTTGACAGGTGACTTGTTACGTTGCATAGTTATAGATACAAAACATGATCAACTAATAAATTGTATTATAAATCAAAATTTATAAAAGTAGCCCCATTGTTACCAGCTGCAGCAGGATGGATGCTTTCAAACAGATGCATCAATAATTATAATCCAATATGATTTTGAAACAGGATCATGTCAGTCATGTCAGTTATTTCTTATATTTTTATGTATTTTTATGGTGTGAATTTGCTACTTTTATTGAAGTAAAGCCTCCTTCAGCTATTGCTTTCACTGCAGTTGTAATTTCTTAGACTACTGCAGATACTCTATGTAATGAACATTTGCTAAATATGTCTTTGTGGCCACACCCTGCTGTTGCTGGGGGCTCCTGTGTGCTACTATCACTGCAGGTTTAGTTTTAAAGCATTACTGTCAAAGCCTTTCTGACTAGAAATACTGAAGGGAAGCGGCTAAAAAGTCAGTGACAGGAGGGGAAAATATGGTACCAGCTGTCAAAGGCAGTATAAGCTTAACAAAGTAGAGTACAAGGTCCTACATAGCAAACGTAATGCTTTGAAAATGTTTCACTTGTCTTATTCAAACTCTATCCTCAGTTGAATGGCCCCGCATACACAAACACATGGCATTACTATACTTGTAAGGACAGCGAATGAGCCTACATTAATTCCAAAGGGTGGTTACTGTAACCTCTACATTCCTAACCCCGACCCTTATCTCATGCTTAGCCTAATTCTAAACTTATCCTACTCAAACACATTAACAGACAAGCAGACCGTGGAAAGTGATGAAACTTGTCTGAGAGCCAGTGTTGATTTCCAGTGTTGCCAGTATCTGACCAACCTGTGTGTTGGTCACTTAAGCTGGAAATGGTCTCTGGCAATAAATAGACCACTGCAGCTACTTCAACATGTCTCCCACAGCCGCTTTTAAAACATGACAGTCACCAAGTTTAGTCAGCAATTAAAGCATTACAGCTGTGATAATACCAACAGGAAGGGATTTAGACTGCGTGTGCTGAAGCGCAATCTAAACTAGGAACTCAGAACTAAAACATTAAAATCTCAGGCTTTATTAAATAGTTTAAAAAGTTCTTCAAATGAGCTCCACAACTGCAAACTGTTTACCCATTTTGTGTACACTATCCCATACAGACAAGTGGACACAGACATGCAACTAAAAGGGCTTGCAATAGTCCATAGTGTCACAAACAGCAGGGGACACCTGCTTTAAAGAGTAACTTAAGGCCTGGTATCTATGACTGGATTTCTGCTAGATGCCTATAGTGTAACCTGCTCCCACAGTGAACATCCCAGAATGGGGGATGTGAAAATGTTTGTGCCTGCCAATGCAGATGCTGATGTAAGCGCTATTCACCAGAGTCTTGGACCTCAGATTTACTCTCACTAATGTTTTAAACAAACCTCTCTGTTTTACAGCTGCAGAAGTTCCAGCACGAAGGAACAACCACAGACATTTTCCTGTGTGGCCATTTGATTTGTAGTCCTATGACAAATTTCAGAACTTAGGGCAACGGAACTTTTCATGCACAGAATAAACTAAAGCAGAAGAGTTGCCATGCATGCTGCAAACTGCTGCACATCCTGCTAAAAAAAGAGCTGCGCAACAAGTCTCAAATGCACTATGGCAGCTAGACCGATTGGCTCTCCAATGTCATGAACTCACATTGTGTCTTTTCTTATTTTTGTCTTTACCGATTCACTTTCCAAGATATTTAATTGTCTCAACTGTTTAAGAAGAAGCTACAGTACCACGCTCCCCAAAGTAAAACAGACTCTGTCCTATGAGCGCTTGTGCTCCTAGGTATTCAAGTGTGGGTTTGAGCACCACGAACAGATGAATGTTAAGTGTGGCCCACTTTGGAGAAATCATAATAGAACCTACATTTTCATCTTACAAGCCAGCAGCCTACCAATTATCTGTCCTTTAAGCACTCAGTGGTGGGGGTTGTGTCTCAAATAGACCCTCATGCCAGTGTTTATACGCCTTATAGTTTTATTTACACCCGGTAGGCTTTATTTAGTTTTGTTGGGTAATCAAGTCCAAGTGGAGAATGGGAGAGGTCAATACCTGCCTTTATTTTTCCATGGAAGCTACTGGTATTCCCTTCGTCGTGTCCATGGTACAGTATCACTGAGCATGGACACAAACAATACAGCAACTTCTAAATAGTGTTATGTGCTGTCTGATACTTCGTAAACATGACAGGCACGTATAGGTTTTAGGGAAAAGGTATTCAGATGTTTATGTCACTTAAACCACAGAGCATCCTGCATCCTGAGAAAATGTATTAGCCTACATGCTTTTTCATTTGCACCAACAAGGCTAAACTCATGTCACAGTGGGACTCTCGCTGTCTTTCTCTGTCTCTGGTGAATAATGTCAAAAGGTGGCTCTGATGGTCTGAGGTAGATTTTACACATTCCCCATACTTTCCTTTGTGATGTGGGGAATGCAGTACAGCTCTTTCTGGACCAAAATGTACTTTTAGTGTATTGCTGATCATCATATTCTCAGAGCTATACTACTTGCAATTATGTGAAGAAAGCAAAAAGAGAACAAGCTCACACACACACTGCAGCCTTTAGTATCCCCGACTTCACCTGGTAGATGAAGACTTTAAAGTTGCGTCTCTTCAGTAGCTCATGCTCGTTGCTCTCCAGCGTCTTGATCTGGCCTGCTTGTTTCTCCAGGTTGTTGCGCACTGTCTTGACGTTGACACTGACCTTGCGTACCTTTTCCAGCATTTTGTTGACAGTGTTGGCTGTGTCGATGTGGTTCTTGGATAACTTAGTCAGCTCTCCTTGGATGTTTGACACTGACTTCTCCATGGATTCCTGCCGGGCCTCAAGCCCTTCCTGGGTCTGCTGGATCTGGTCTACCACCCCAATAATCTTGTCTAGGAGAGACAGAACCAGGATCCCATTCATTTGGGCTTCACTCTTGCTTCCGGAGTCAGTGGTCAGCACCTGGTCCACCGAGTCATCATCGTCTACCGCTGGCTCAGTGGCAGCACGCACCAGAGCTACCTTTTCATCATCATAAAGCACTTCTGCCAGGGGTATGTGCTCCTTCTTGACACCTGTATCTGCCATGGCTGTCAACTCCAAATGCAAGCCGCGTACACACTAACCACAGATAAAAATACAGTACTGAAAAACAACCTACACCAGCAGCACTACACAGAACTCAATCCCTAATCCTTTTGTCTGTCTTTCAAGCAACTTTAGTGATCACTTGCTTGCCTCCTTCTAGTCTACTTTAAACTTTAACTTTCTCTTTGCCCCCAGTTTCTCACAGTCGACTCTCTCCGTCTCTCTCTGCCTCTGTTCTGGGATACCAGCCAGCCAAGGGGAGCGGGGCCTCTCACAGCTGAGGCATGTGTGCCCTGACTCAAATGCCTGTGCTCCCTGTGAAACCACTCTGTGAAACATTTCCCCCTTACACCCCTGGCTCCCCCCGCCGCTGGGACTCCACCCCATTATTTCCCCAGGCTTAGGGGAGCGTAACTCTGAGTCCCAGACTATCATCCTCTCTAATAGGAAAAGGTGAGGGCCACACAAAACATGGGTTCAGACCAGTTAAATGTGACAATTACGTTTCACAGTCAATAAAATCATAGCTATTTTCTGCACATAGATGTTATGTCACAAAGGCCTACTTTTAAAGTGTGTGCAACTACTGTCACTAGGTCATTAATTCGTCTCACTATCATAGTTTGTGCTAACCTTTGACAATATTTGACAATATTTGACCCTAGACTGCACACTTGGCCATGCTAATTCTTGAAAAATGTAGATTTATGAGGAAAGAAGTTGTGCTTGAAATCAGCTGTCCAAAAGAGCCTAAATGTTGCATTTCCTCAATGTGACCACTAGAGGGCAACAAATAATCATTATAGCCAGAGACCCAAAAACTGGACACTGATGTGTACATGTCTACATAACTTATTTCTCATGTTAAGGTTTATTTTATTTAGTCATATTTGTCAGTTTACTTTTAATATTATCTGGTTATGTTCTCGGTATATGACTGTTGTGGTCACTAGAGTCTCCTGTGTTTTTGGTTAGCTGATTATCTTTAGCATGATGATGCTTCTCTACTGGCTCCCTGTAAATTCCAGAATATAATTTAAAATCCTTCTTTATATGTATATGTATATGCATATTTGCATTTATACTTATATATGTGCATGTGTATGCAGTGTATATATGTGTATGCTGTGTATGTTGGTGTACTGTGTATTTGTATATTGGGGATACTGTATAGTATTCTAATCCTAGTAGGAATGTGATGTGGAGTAGAAAGGTATTGTTATGTTATGTCTTTTGATATTTCATGGCACCATAACAACTTGTTGTGTCCTGATGCTTTTCTTCTTTTCTCTCTCTTCCATCCACTATCCAAGGTTGAGGCAGAAGGTTGTCCGACAAGAGCCGAGGTCTGTTGGAGGTTTCTTCTGTTAGTAGGAGTTTTTACTCCCCATTGTTTCCAAGTGATTGCTCAAGAGGGGTTTGTTGGGTTTTCTAGGCCTGATTATGTAAACTTCCCCGAGACAGTTGTTGTTGAGAATTGACACTATACAAATAAATTCAACTGGAAATGGAACTGAACTGATTGGTCTTCAAACTGAAGAACTGCTATTAAAAGGGCAATTTATTAATTTAACTTGTTACACTTATGACATTACTGTTGTTATATGTAATAATCAAGTTGATAACTGGCTGTATAAGTTGATATGTGTGTGATACTGTAGGCTATGAGGTGACAGTCTGTCTATTGCATATTTAAGGCCTCCAGTGGCCATAATAGTTAAGTGCAGCATATTTTTACTTTTGGTGATTACCTTCAAAATATAGAGATGAAAATGAATTGTAAACCACTCAATGTTGTAGACCAACTTTCAGAAATGATTATGAAATTATTATTTTAATGGCATTATTTTAGGGTGTTCAGTCCACATTCTTCACTGGGTATAATAAAGAAATGTATACAAATTGTTATTTTAAAAGTTGAATGTAGGCTACCATTCAAAGATATTGTCAAGCTATATGAAGCCCCATACGTTGAAGCACGATGCATTGTGTATCCTGCAGGCGGCAGTAGTGCGCCCAGTAACGCTTATACTGCAAGACAGGAGAAGAAGAAAAGTTGTAGCTTCATCGATCAGTCCCCAACGAACATTAGAGAGGAAGCAACAGTGAAGGGGGAGAAGAGCTAATCTGCATCTAAACAGTAAGAGCAGCAAGTTTAACGCTAGTTCTTATTTTATAGCTGAGACTATGAATGATTTAAACTACACTGGCATAGATGTAATTGTGTGCGAACTTAAATGTGAAGCAACAAATGCGATAAGTTAGCTGTTTTGATATCACCGCACACCCTTTAAATCTACAACTAGGTTAACTGTTTCTAAGGTAGTCAGCTGTCTAACGTTAATAACCAGATACCAGAAAAAAGTTCATATCAATCTCTCTACAGTTCCTGTTTTGTAACGTTATCTTGTTCTTCATATTGAAGTTGCACTTTGTTAATCGGACTAGCACCTGCCTTCTGATACTGTTTTGCTAACGCTAACCGAGTAGCTATGACTGTCTAGCTATGCTGCTCTATTTCATTATGAGATTTTAACAGCGGTTGTGGGTCGGTGTCAAAGTAGCTGCAACAAGGTCAGTTTGCTTTACTGGTAGCTGTTAGCTCTCTGACATCTCCAGCTTTGACAGGCGAAGGAAACCAAGCTAACGATAAGTGCAGAACTTGTCTGTCTTGTTAGCTAGAAGATAAACTACATATGATATGTTAAAACTCTGTAGATTTGTCTTAGAGTATTAAGTCAGTAGTTAAATGTACATCCAGCGATTAAGCAGTATGAGAACTTACTAGAACTACAGGTCAAGGCTACTTTGTAATCCACAGATAGTTGTAGCTGAATGACAGATATAAAAACTACACCCTGCCTACACTGGCTGTGTAGATATAAAGCTGTGCTTTATATCCAGAGAAGATATCAAAAAAGTCCCCCAGCTACATTCCTGTACCGATCATAGGATCAGCACGAGACAAGATGGTTTATTTTCTTCTTTGCTCTTTTTGTCACCTGTGAGCTTTACACACTTATGCTAAACTAAGGCACAACTGATACAGGCCTCTCTCATTGGTGGTTTTATTCTAGTATGCCTAGATGAGAAGCATGTTGGATACAGAGCTCCTCCAATTTTGTTGTAGGAGGCTCTAATAAACATTATGCAGGGTGTTTTCAATAAAAGTGAAAGTCATGTTTGCTAATATTTGTGTGTCACTAATAGACAGTATTATTGTTGATTTTCCAGAGGTTCTGGTTGGTTTAAGGCTGCAGAGCACTCGCATCCTTCAGCAACATGGGGGAACTCTTCCGAAGTGAAGAGATGACACTGGCTCAGCTCTTCCTCCAGTCAGAAGCTGCATACTGCTGTGTCAGTGAACTGGGAGAAATTGGGTTGGTGCAGTTTCGTGATGTAAGTCCACTTCTGTCCCATCCTTCTATTGTCTTCTAACTCCTGATTCTCCATATATAATCAGTTTTTGATTTGCTTTTTGATCTACCAGCTAACACAGTACTTGGTTTTCCTAAAGGGGTATCTATATCGTAAATGGTCAGAAAAAACACATGCTTAAGTTATTGCTCTCAACTGTGATGGTGATTTGAGAATAACCACATCAGTAACATTTCTGTGAAAATGCATGCCCTCTGCATCATGATCTTCATGTGATCACAGCTGACCCCTGATTCCACACACGGGAAAGACCATTCCTGACAAGCCCTGAGGGAAGTATAGGATGGGCTGTAACGGAGTAGGTCTGTGTATCAAGAGCGGTATCTTATTCATTTGACTAAATTATACTCCAGATACCGCAGAAATTTCTGGAACAACTTCACCCACCATCAAGGTGCACAAACAAAGGAAAACCAAACTGGAAAACAAAGTCCAGCAACACTTGCAGTGTTTTGAGCAACTTTAATGTAAAGACCAGTGTGTTTAATCTCTGACAGTTTCTACCACTTTCACAAATATAACATCTACCTGGGATAATATAAGGAGAGCTTTTTAAACTTCATAAGAGTGACTGACTGAGTGATTCACTGAGTTGTTGATTAGCTTTCAAAAACCTTTTTTTTCCTTCTTGCAGCTAAATCCAGATGTAAATTTGTTCCAGCGAAAATATGTCAATGAAGTGCGGCGATGTGAAGAGATGGATCGCAAACTGAGTAAGTGAGCTCAGATATTTCTTGCTATCGATGCCTCAGCCTTCAAGACAGAAAGTTTGTTTACCTTGTTACTTTTCTGTTGCAGGATTTGTAGAAAAAGAAATAAAACAAGTGAACATCCCAATAGTTGACACAGGAGAGAACCCTGAAGTCCCCTTCCCAAGGGACATGATTGACCTGGAGGTGACTGCTCTCTGTCTTAAAGATAAACAGCGATCTCTGTCATTTGCAGCTTTTCTTTCTGACTGCTCTGTATGTCTTTTCACAGGCCACATTTGAGAAGCTTGAGATCGAGCTGAAGGAAATCAACACCAACCAGGAAGCCCTAAAAAAGAACTTCCTGGAACTGACTGAGCTCAAGCACATTCTGCGCCGCACTCAGCAGTTTTTTGATGAGGTCAGCTTCACTGTACGTACGCACCTTGCAAAACAGTGTGCTGGGCCTGACAAATGTGGTAGTCAGAATAAGAAGTGACCAGTAACTGTTTATCACCATGGTTGTAACATTCAGGCCAAACCCAGCCATTTATACTTTACATTGGAGTAATACAGATTCTGCTGATAAGCTATCTACACTGATCTTTAATCACTGACACACAGTCTTACTATAGTTTTGAGGACATTCATTGACATTATGGATTCTCTAGCCCCTTACCCTAGCGGTAACCATCATAACTAAATGCCTAACACCTAACCAAGCCCTAATTTTAACCTGAACCATAAAACCCAAGTCTTAGCCCTCAAAAAGCCTTTTGAAGTTGTGAGACATGTCCTCACAATAATGCCACTGGGGAAAAAAGGTCCATACAATGTAATAAAGGCATGTACACATACACACAAAGAAATACTTATTGCTGCTTGATTTGGCAAAAAGTGTTTCTCTGACTCGTGATCATTTATAGTTGCTCATGTGGCCTTGGCCCTTTTACTCCAGCTATTCATTCACATTATGCTGTAATTCCACCGCTGTATTATACTTTTAGTTAGGTTTAGTTCTGTGTACGCTGTTCATGTGTTAGAGCCAAATCCTTTCCACCTTTGCCCAACATCATTTCCACTTCATTGCCATCAGACAAAGCTGGGTTGACTTACAAAGTTAACTCCTCCTTTTACATGTTGTTGCAAGCTTTGATTGAGGTGAATCATTTAGCAGCATTCAGCCAATAACTGATGACATTAACTGTGTGTTGGAAACTCTTTGCTTTCTTCAAATCTCATAACATCCAGTTTTTGTGACAGTACTGTTCAGCACTATGTGTCTGATAATGCTGTGACAGTAATTAATATGTTGCCATTGTAGGTGATGATTTGTTATTTGTCATGTAGATGGAGGACCCCAGTTTACTGGAGGAGTCATCCATCCTCCTGGAACCACATGAGATTAACAGAGGGGCAGCTCTGAGGCTGGGGTGAGTCGGTTTTTGTAGGATCCTTAATTTAAAAGGATTAGGGTTCCCTGATAGACTGGTGGTTAGGGCGCAGCGCTCTCGTCGCTGCGGCACGGGTTCTAGTCAGGGTTGTGTCAGGACGGGCATCTGGTGTAAAATGTGCCAAAGGTCAACGTGCAAATCGTCAGTGTGATGATTCGCTGTGGCGACCCTTAACCGGAAAAGTCCGAAAGTGACAATCATTCTTAATTTAAAAGGATTAAGTTTTTCTTGGTAGTTTCCATTCTTTTCACTTTGACATTTGTGTCTGGAACTATAGTGTTACGACTAGCCGCTCACCTCCCATCCCCCAAAGTCACCTGTATTCAAATGCAGTCAGAACCCACATATACAAATGCAGTTAGTGTAGACATGTCCCTTAATGTTGTTTATTGTCACAACCTTACCTTCAATATGCAAAAGGCTTAAGTTTTTTTTTTTGGTCATACATTTTGACTTGTAAATGTTAGAACCTTCATACATACAGTACCAACCCAGGTAACCTAACTGAATTTTTCTGTTTGTTATAGATTTGTGGCTGGAGTCATTGGCAGGGAACGTATTCCTAATTTCGAGAGGATGCTGTGGAGAGTTTGCAGAGGAAATGTCTTCCTGAGGCAGGCAGAGATTGAAGATCCTCTGGAGGACCCGACCACGGTCGGTACTTAATAAACAAAATGTTTTGTAGTCTCTGAGTTAGCTCACATGTGATCCATGCTTCACTACTCTCCTCTCTTAACTGTTTTTCCACAGGGCAACCAGGTCCACAAGTCTGTCTTCATCATCTTTTTCCAAGGGGACCAGCTGAAGAATAGAGTTAAGAAGATCTGTGAGGGGTAAGTGAATCAGCAACATTCCTACAATTTTATTTAAAATGTTCTTGGCGCAGAGATTTTTTTTTTATCTGTATGTCTTCATCTGTCCTCAGGTTCAGAGCTACCTTGTACCCATGCCCGGAAACACCACAGGAGAGGAAAGAGATGGTGGCAGGAGTGAATGTACGCATTGATGATCTTCAAATGGTAAGTACACTGGCAGGCAAAACATAAACACCGACTTGGACAAAAACTTTGCAACCTGCCTTAGATAGATGTATGTTTCAAAATGTCATTTTTGATTTGGAACAATCACTGTAACAAGGAGCATTGTTGATTTAAGAGAAAAGGCACAGCATGATCCAAACAGGCAGGAATGGGTGTTGGCTCCCGCAGGGATGGGTAACACACATTTTGCCACAAACAGAAATATGATTATTAAAAATATGACTACAATTCTACTCTTGTCTGCCCCCATAGGTGCTGAATCAGACCGAGGATCACAGGCAGAGGGTCCTGCAGGCTGCAGCCAAGACAATCCGTGTGTGGTTCATCAAGGTTAGAAAGATGAAGGCCATCTATCACACCCTCAACCTCTGCAACATTGATGTCACTCAGAAGTGTCTGATCGCTGAGGCGTGGTGCCCTGTTGCTGACCTTGACTCAATCCAGTTTGCTCTGCGCAGGGGGACGGTGAGTAACTGAGCACCAGGCAGTTTACAGTATGTTTACTGGAAACAATCCACTATTTAGTAGGTTTAGTTCATGTAGGCACAGTCACACAAGGTCGCTTTTTTATTCTTAGGACATGAACTTTGGGTAAAGTATACCTGACCATGCGGTTTGTTCAAATTAGTGGAACCCATTTTAAACCAACAGGCCTAAACTGTGTCTGTGCAAACAGGTCATTCAGCTGGCAGGTGAAAATACTTAACAGTATATTTACTAAAAGTATATTTATTTAATTGTGTTCCATCCATATGGAGGATATCTAGTTGTACACTTAGTGTAGCAACAGATACTTGGCTCTGTAGTGCCTACCGTCTCGGCTGTCTTTATTCTGATTATCTTGAAACATGAGGCAAAGTTGTACTTTCCTGGCAGGCTGTGTGACCTGAGCTAAGGGAGATATATTTCATAACCTTTAATTAAAACAGATTTTAGAGAGGTAAATGGTGTCACTTCAGAGCAGCGTCATGTGAGAACTGAGAAAGCAACAGGTTACCTCCCTTTTATGCACACGTAAGTCTCAGCACTCGCAGCACATGATCACATTTTCTGAAGGATTAGTAGGATTTAAACAGGATATGTCAGGATTCATTGCTTCCAAACTCATGAAAGGTTTGTGTTTGCCTGAGCAATAGTCGGTGTTCCAGTGAATTTCTGAAATATCTTAGCAGGTTCGGTCTGTGAAAGAAAAATTAATCCAAAGCAGAACCTTGTGTTTTCTGTGCTTTAGGAGAAGAGCGGCTCCACTGTGCCTTCCATCCTCAATACGATGCAGACCAAGCAGACCCCACCTACCTATAACAAAACAAACAAGTTCACCTCCGGCTTTCAAAACATTGTGGACGCCTATGGAATAGGCAATTACCGTGAGATGAACCCAGGTAAGCAGGTGAACCAAGCTGGCTGTAGTACTGAACTGCAGCCACTGAAAGGCTTTGCCTCAGTTGCCTCATCCCCCATTATCACTTTACTGGCATGTGCTGTGTCTCACAACGTGTCACTCATTTGTTTCACCTGCCACACCACCTTCATGCGATACCCACCCCCTTGTCTACAGCGCCATACACTGTCATCACCTTTCCCTTCCTATTTGCGGTCATGTTTGGTGACATCGGCCATGGGGTGCTCATGGCCTTGGGTGCCCTGTTCCTTGTGGTGAGAGAGAGAAGGCTGATGGCTCAGAAGACTGATAATGAGGTATGTTTCCAATCACTGCCATCCCATCAGCCCTACACCATCGTTAGTAGTGATATACAAACTCCTGCTCTGTACAGGGCCTGGTGTTTTTGTATACGTTTATTTAGCTTAGAGATTTATGTTTTTTTTTTTTTTTTTCTTCTGAGATTTAATTCTATTAATTGTTTTGCGACAGATGTTCAGCATGATGTTTGCGGGGCGCTACATCATCCTGATGATGGGAATCTTCTCCATCTACACGGGCGCGATTTACAACGACTGCTTCTCTAAGTCCCTCAACATCTACGGCTCTAGCTGGAGTGTCAGGCCCATGTTCAACCATGAAGTAGGAGGCAACTGGACGTAAGTGTCACTGCTTTTACTCAGTGACTGCTGTAAATGTCAGAAAACTGTAAGTTCTCATCCTGTTCAGGGAAGATATACTTCGAGGCAACAGACTTTTGCAGTTGGATCCAAAAGTAGTTGGAGTGTTTTCAGGGCCATACCCCATTGGCATCGATCCGGTGAATATTCTTCTGTTCGCTGTATCTACTAAGTACAAATTAGCAATGTCTTCATAGATGAATGTATAAAAATGATTCAGTGATGGTTTATTGTTAATATCTATTAATTAACGGTAGTGCTAACATAAACTTGTTTGTATAAGCAGATATTTTATATAACTTGGTTGTATTGCGTCTCAGATATGGAACTTTGCCTCCAACAAGCTGACGTTCTTGAACTCCTTCAAGATGAAGATGTCTGTTATCCTTGGAGTCATCCACATGCTGTTTGGAGTCTCTCTCAGTCTCTTCAACCACCTGTGAGATTTTCATTGGCACATTCACTGGCGTTTCTTCTTTGAATTTGTTCACAGTTGGTATGGTGACAAACTGGCTGTCTGTGTTTCTCTGCAGGTATTTCCACAAGCCACTGAATATCTACATGGGATTTATCCCAGAGGTTATTTTCTTGTCCAGTCTGTTTGGCTATCTCATTTTTATGATCTTCTACAAGTGGGTTCAATATGACGTAAACATGTCCAAGGATGCTCCCAGTATCCTCATCACCTTCATCAATATGTTCCTTTTCAACTACAGCGACACCACTAACAAACCTCTCTACAAAGGGCAGGTCAGATACATGAACTAGTTACATCCGTCTATCATTTGGTCCTGAAATGAACGAAAGCACTGTAATTGTCATTCTTCTGTGTTTTTGCTTCTTTTTCTGGAATGTGTAGATGATTTTACAATCATTGTTGGTGATCCTCGCTTTGGCCTGTGTTCCCTGCATGTTAATAGTGAAACCTCTGATTATACGGAGGCAGTATTTACGGCAGAAAAACCTGGTAAGCTGAAGTAGAAGTGCAAATGCTGTCACTTCCGGGGATAACATATTTATAAACACAGTAAATGGGAATGTATCCATTTAATTTAGTTGAACTCGTCTTGTGTGACAGGCTGCAGAGGACTTTGGGGTCACGGTGAGCAATGGGCCCACTGATGATGAGGCTGAAATCATCCGGCATGACCAGCTGTCGCAGCACACGGAGGAAGAACCTGAGGTAAGACAGACGTCCTTGTTGCTGACAGAACTGTCTCCCTCTGGCCAGATGTTTGGTGAGGTATGTGGTTGAAAGACATCTCTGAATAATTTAGTCACTCAGCTGTTGGAAACTGAAACCTGAAGCTCATGTTTCCATTTCCACTGTTGCAATGAAAAAAATAATTATGGTTTTAGGTTTTGCTTATTCAACTCACTGTTATAAATGTGAGATTACACTGAAGGATTGTGGTTTTCTTAGCATTATAGTTCTGTGTTTCTTCCATCCATCAGTGTTTGTATACAGTTGCTTTTAAATATAAATTGACCTTCTTGGGAAGTGGTGAGCAGTTGTGCTGCCGAGCTTTAACACTACCAAGAAACAGAGCTGAGTTGTTTTATGTTGATTTCTTGCAAATTAAACTGAGGGTGTTTTCACTCTTGGTCCCTTTTAAATGAACCAAACTCAGTCATTTTTAAAGTGGACCAACAAAAAAGGGACTCAGGTCTAATGGTGTTCACCCTGTGAGTACATTTGGAAGAGGACTGTTCTCTTTCTGGTCCGCTTCAGCTCTGATGCACCCTCAGGCCTCTTTCTGTTCACACACTAGTGACTCTCAGACTTTTACTGTGTTCACATATGGCTTTTATGTCAAAGGATTCTCTACTGTATTTCTTCTTACTGCATGTGGTAAAGTACTTTTACTGCAAGGTGCCTCCATCCCCCTGCTCTGAGCGCGCTCAGGCGAAACTGAACTTCTGAACAACAGTTCACATGATGCTTTGACCACTGCAATCAGCTGACTAATGGTTCTTTTTATTAATTAGCCCATATTTATATAACTTAGTTAACTCAGGCTCAAGGCTTCCTAAATGAATCATTTACATGGGCAAGGAGAGAAACTATCAGCTAGTCAGCGGAAAACTGCATTCCTCCATGATGGACTTTAGCTAGATAGTTCAACAGATTGCTGGTATTTCTGCCTTTACGTGCAAAAAAAAAAAAGTAGAAGTGAACCTGGAGCGCTTTGTGATCACAGTGCACGGATTAAGCAAAGTGCATCATGGACTTGAAACGACTTGGTTCAAATCAGAGAGGTGTGAGTTTGTTTGGAGCGTTCACATTAACGCAAACAAAATGCTGACTAATCGCTCTGCGTTCGTTTTGAGGGCTGAAAGGAGCCAAGTGTGAAAACACCCTGATATAATCCCATGATTAAATGTTTAAAATACACTGACTGTACAGTTCATGTGAGCAGAATGTGTTCCTGCTCTGTTTGGTTCATCTGATTTCTTTGGAAGTGAGTAACTGGATTCTCTTCTTACCCTTCTGTCTACTGATGTCGCTCTGTCCATCTGTATTTGTGTTGTCAATAATCAAGCGTTGCCTTTTGTCACCTGCTTTCAAGGCCCGTGAGGAGGAAGAGGTAGGACAGGAGCTCGTGCTGCAACTCCACCCTGCAACCTTTTCTCTGCATGTCCTCTGATTCTGCCTCTTTCTGCCCCTCGCTTTGTTGTCTACATATGCTGTCAATCATTGCCTGCTGCTCTAAGGTGTGTGTGTGTGTGTCCGTGCGTACAGTATTGTTCAAAATAATAGCAGTACAATGTGACTAAGCAGAATAATCCAGGTTTTTAGTATATTTTTTATTGCTACATGGCAAACAAGTTACCAGTAGGTGCAGTAGATTCTCAGAAAGCAAACAAGACCCAGCATTCATGATATGCACGCTCTTAAGGCTGTGCAATTGGGCAATTAGTTGAAAGGGGTGTGTTCAAAAAAATAGCAGTGTCTGCCGTTGACTGTACAAACACAAAACTATGTTGTACAAACGTTTTTGTTTCTAGGATTTAGCAATCCTGTGAATCACTAAACTAATATTTAGTTGTATGACCACAGTTTTTTATAACTGCTTCACATCTGTGTGGCATGGAGTCAACCAACTTGTGGCACCTTTCAGCTGTTATTCCACTCCATGATTCTTTAACAACATTCCACAATTCATTTACATTTCTTGGTTTTGCTTCAGAAACAGCATTTTTGATATCACCCCACAAGTTCTCGATTGGATTAAGGTCCGGGGATTGGGCTGGCCACTCCATAACATTAATTTTGTTGGTTTGGAACCAAGACTTTGCTCGTTTACTAGTGTGTTTGGGGTCATTGTCTTGTTGAAACAACCATTTCAAGGGCATGTCCTCTTCAGCATAAGGCAACATGACCTCTTCAAGTATTTTGACATATGCAAACTGATCCATGATCCCTGGTATGCGATAAATAGGCCCAACACCATAGTAGGAGAAACATGCCCATATCATGATGCTTGCACCACCATGCTTCACTGTCTTCACTGTGTACTGTGGCTTGAATTCAGAGTTTGGGGGTCATCTCACAAACTGTCTGCGGCCCTTGGACAGAAAGAACAATTTTACTCTCAGTCCACAAAATGTTCCTCCATTTCTCTTTAGGCCAGTTGATGTGTTCTTTGGCAAATTTTAACCTTTTCTGCACGTGCCTTTTTTTTAACAGAGGGACTTTGCGGGGGATTCTTGAAAATAGATTAGCTTCACACAGACGTCTTCTAACTGTCACAGTACTTACAGGTAACTCCAGACTGTCTTTGATCATCCTGGAGCTGATCATTGGCTGGGCCTTTGCCATTCTGGTTATTCTTCGATCCATTTTGATGGTTGTCTTCCGTTTTCTTCCATGTCTCTCTGGTTTTGCTCTCCATTTTAAGGCATTGGAGATCATTTTAGCTGAACAGCCTATAATTTTTTGCACCTCTTTATAGGTTTTCCCCTCTCCAATCAACTTTTTAATCAAAGTACGCTGTTCTTCTGAACAATGTCTTGAACGACCCATTTTCCTCAGGCTTTCAAATGCATGTTCAACAAGTGCTGGCTTCATCCTTAAATAGGGGCCACCTGATTCACACCTGTTATTTCACAAAATTGATGACCTCACTGATTGAATGCCACACTGCTATTTTTTTGAACACACCCCTTTCAACTAATTGCCCAATTGCACAGCCTTAAGAGCGTGCATATCATGAATGCTGGGTCTTGTTTGCTTCTTGAGAATCTACTGCACCTACTGGTAACTTGTTTGCCATGTAGCAATAAAAAATATACTAAAAACCTGGATTATTCTGGTTAGTCACATTGTACTGCTATTATTTTGAACAATACTGTATGTATTAGTTAGTAGTTGAAACATGGGTTGCAGGGATTCCTCAAGCAGTGGCTTCTTTACAGTATCTGATGTGCATGAAGCATGAGCAGAACTGCTGAGTTTTTGGTTTCGTAACATAATGATGCCTCCTCTAATTTGGGGGGGGGCTGCATAACTAAATGATCCCACGCACGCAATTAACCGGACCACTCCTACGTGGACCTCAGGCCCTGCCGTAGAGACGTAGCTCCATGTTGACGTGCGGGTACGTTGTGATGTTTGTATGTCTGTCCCACAGTTTGACTTTGCGGATATGGCAGTGCATCAAGCGATCCATACCATAGAGTACTGCCTTGGCTGTATCTCCAACACCGCATCCTATCTGAGGCTTTGGGCCCTCAGTTTGGCTCATGCACGTAAGTCTCACAGCTTTTATCATTAAGCGTTGATATCCATAAATTAAATCAGCAGTATTGACACATTTATTAAGAGAATGAACTCATTCAAATATAATGAATGCACTCAAGTTCAGCTCAGCCGTAAATTGCCTTCTGTGCTCCACGCAGAGCTGTCAGAGGTGCTGTGGACCATGGTGATGCATACTGGTCTATCGAGCAGCAGCTATGGGGGCTTCATCGGCCTGGCCATAGTCTTTTTCTTCTTCGCTATTCTCACAGTTGCCATTCTCCTCATCATGGAAGGCCTCTCAGCCTTCCTGCATGCACTGCGACTGCACTGGTAGGTTAAGAGATGTTATTTGTTCATATGTGTGCATTGCATTTGCTTTCATTTGTCTTTAAATCATGAGGCTGTAGTTGATGTTCTCATATAAAGATCATGGTTTCAGGTCATTATTTCAGCCTTGGAAACCAGGGCCATCGTCTTTGCATTAAAGGGAATATGTGTCACTTTGTGTTTATGGTGCAAATCCAATGGATTAATGCCTTAACTTGACAGGACAAAAGACAGTCAGTGTTGTCTTCTGAATGTTATCCTGGCATCATACTCCAGTGGCACATTTAAAGGGCATGCCTGTGCTGCAGCCACTCCTCCCTATAATTATCACAGGAACGCTTTGTCTCAGCTTCCATTTAGTGACTTTCAGGGACAATTAGGTGCCATTTTAAGTACAAGGATGCATTTCATTTTTAATACTGGCAGTGGCCCTAGTCTGAACAAAAAGTACTTGTGGCTCCTCAGTAAAAAGGTCACTCAGCCGTCACTTAGCGGCAGCCTTTATTAAATAGAACCTAATCGTTTTTCAGAAGGTAACTGGACCCTGGACTGGGTCCGGGGAGCAGGGATGGTAGGCGTGAGTGTGTGCAGACTATGGAATCGAGAGCAGGGGTCATCAGCTGTACAGTCATCACCACTGTGGTCTGACTGTGTTATTGTGGCTATTTGCTCATTTTTTTTGTCTTTGCAGGGTGGAGTTCCAAAACAAGTTTTACGTAGGCCAGGGATTCAAGTTTCTCCCGTTCAACTTCGAAGGCATCCTGAATGGGAGGCCTGAGGAGTGAGATCTGACTACTCTTCTTCTATTAATGTCACATGTCTTTGAGAATCCATGTGGTGTTGGACCGTGATGTTGTCTTGTTTTTGTGTGTGATTCCGTTTCCAACTTTCTGTGTGAGTACAGTTTCATGTGTGACACACTGACTGCCGTTCCTTTTAAACTTCTCATCAGTTTTGGAATCGACATATAAATCTGCAGCGTCTCCTCAGAAATTACTATTTATTTATTCATTCCTGAGAAAAATAGCATTAACTCTAATCTGTTGTCTTGACAAGCTCATGTTGTTTTATTGTTTTAGTTTGTTACTTAAGATCTTTTTTCTTTATGAAATTTGCGTTTTTCCTGTTGCACTACTCAAATGATGCCATCATGTCTCGACTGATGAGAAAAGTGACAGTTTCATACGTTTCCATGTTGTTGTATTCAGACACCTGTTATACTGCAAACTGACCTCCCACACGGAGCTATAGGTCCAAAGGGAATAGAGTTCAACTTGGATTAAGACGTCAGTCAGTTCTTTGAAAATGAAGATGAAATCACTGGTGGATCCTGTGTTGTGCTTTGACATTGCCATAAATGCCTTTTGTGTCAAGCGACATGTTCTTTACATGAGAGAATAAAGAGGAATCTGTAAATGGGTGCCAGCAACCCTGTGTGCTAAAATGATTCAGCAGTGCAAGTCTTGCTGATTGCTTTGTTCCTTATGTTAATTCAATTGTATGTAAAAGTTTAACATGTTACCCTGACACCTCAGAAGGGAGTAACCATCTGGAATTCTGCTTCTCTTTGCCAATAAAGTGGCCGGTGCTGGTTTAAGACATGATATTTATTTCTGTACTTTCTGCTGCAGTACTTGAAGAAACCTTTACGTCAGTTAAAGTAGTGATGCCACTATACACAAACACTCTGTTCCAAGTTAAAACTCCAGCATTCAAAATCCTATTAAAGTTAAAGTACAGAAGGATTAAGAGTAAAATATACTGAATTAATCCTATAATTATTAAGTGATGCATCATGTTTTATAATTTCATATTTTGTAATGTATGTAAAGTAACCCATATGGAGTAAAGTTAGTACTTGAGTAAATGTATTCAATGTGTTATATACAGTGCCTTGCGAAAGTTTTCGGCCCCCTTGAACTTTGCGACCTTTTGCCACATTTCAGGCTTCAAACATAAAGATATAAAACTGTAATTTTTTGTGAAGAATCAACAACAAGTGGGACACAATCATGAAGTGGAACGAAATTTATTGGATATGTCAAACTTTTTTAACAAATAAAAAACTGAAAAACTGGGCGTGCAAAATTATTCAGCCCCCTTAAGTTAATACTTTGTAGCGCCACCTTTTGCTCCGATTACAGCTGTAAGTCGCTTGGGGTATGTCTCTATCAGTTTTGCACATCGAGAGACTGAAATTTTTGCCCATGCCTCCTTGCAAAACAGCTCGAGCTCAGTGAGATTGGATGGAGAGCGTTTGTGAACAGCAGTTGTCAGTTCTTTCCACAGATTCTCGATTGGATTCAGGTCTGGACTTTGACTTGACCATTCTAACACCTGGATATGTTTATTTGTGAACCATTCCATTGTAGATTTTGCTTTATGTTTTGGATCATTGTCTTGTTGGAAGACAAATCTCCGTCCCAGTCTCAGGTCTTTTGCAGACTCCATCAGGTTTCCTTCCAGAATGGTCCTGTATTTGGCTCCATCCATCTTCCCATCAATTTTAACCATCTTCCCTGTCCCTGCTGAAGAAAAGCAGGCCCAAACCACGATGCTGCCACCACCATGTTTGACAATGGGGATGGTGTGTTCAGGGTGATGAGCTGTGTTGCTTTTACGCCAAACATAACGTTTTGCATTGTTGCCAAAAAGTTCGATTTTGGTTTCATCTGACCAGAGCACCTTCTTCCACATGTTTGGTGTGTCTCCCAGGTGGCTTGTGGCAAACTTTAAACGACACTTTTTATGGATATCTTTAAGAAATGGCTTTCTTCTTGCCACTCTTCCATAAAGGCCAGATTTGTGCAGTATACGACTGATTGTTGTCCTATGGACAGAGTCTCCCACCTCAGCTGTAGATCTCTGCAGTTCATCCAGAGTGATCATGGGCCTCTTGGCTGCATCTCTGATCAGTCTTCTCCTTGTATGAGCTGAAAGTTTAGAGGGACGGCCAGGTCTTGGTAGATTTGCAGTGGTCTGATACTCCTTCCATTTCAATATTATCGCTTGCACAGTGCTCCTTGGGATGTTTAAAGCTTGGGAAATCTTTTTGTATCCAAATCCGGCTTTAAACTTCTCCACAACAGTATCTCGGACCTGCCTGGTGTGTTCCTTGTTCTTCATGATGCTCTCTGCGCTTTAAACAGACCTCTGAGACTATCACAGTGCAGGTGCATTTATACGGAGACTTGATTACACACAGGTGGATTCTATTTATCATCATTAGTCATTTAGGTCAACATTGGATCATTCAGAGATCCTCACTGAACTTCTGGAGAGAGTTTGCTGCACTGAAAGTAAAGGGGCTGAATAATTTTGCACGCCCAATTATTCAGTTTTTTATTTGTTAAAAAAGTTTGAAATATCCAATAAATTTCATTCCACTTCATGATTGTGTCCCACTTGTTGTTGATTCTTCACAAAAAATTACAGTTTTATATCTTTATGTTTGAAGCCTGAAATGTGGCAAAAGGTCGCAAAGTTCAAGGGGGCCGAATACTTTCGCAAGGCACTGTAAAAATTACTGCAGGTAGTGCAATGTAGGCCTAACTTCACAAAGGTTTATTCAGCTACTGTACAATGCTGACAAAATACTAAAGTACAGCTAAAGCTTATATATGTAAGGCTCCTGACAAAGGATCTCCCAGTTCTCCCAGGTCATTTTTCACAGAAACACCTTTTTATATTACAGTCCACACCAACAACACAGTAGTTTTGGAAAATAACTAAGTACATTTACT